GGTGATCACGAACGGAATGGACTTACACGTGAGGGAAGATCTGGTCGGCAGATCTCCGGCACGGTGGGGGATCTTGACCTAATGTCGCGGAGCTAGACTCGACGCGACCAGGCAACGCCTACAACAAAGAAACTAATACGATCTAACCCAAGGGCGGCGAGCGCGAAGGCTTGCTAACGCCGAGCGTAGACTTTCAAGTCAAATCTAGCCCAAGGACCAAGTTAATATTATGCTGACTAAGAGAATACAAAGGACGGCTTACCTAGCCCAAGGACCAAGAGGTCAAGATGAGGGCTAGGGTCGCTACAGGTGGGGTTTATATACTGAGTCAGGGGAGCCAAACATGTACAAACGTAAAGGTGGTCTGTGCGCACATTAGTGCCACTCTGCAGGTGGGGGTCAGGTGACTGGTCACATGCTTCTACCTACTGGTTCTAAGTCTAAGTGTCGTACGAATGGCCGTAGAAAATAAGGAAAAATGCGGAAAAATATAGGGGTCTCGTCGTCTCCACGACAAATTCTTTTCTCTCCCTGAGGCCCTCTAATTTGCGCTCATGGCAGCAGAAAACCAAGACCAGCTGTGCCTGCCCCGACAGGGGAAACAAACATACAAATCTTGCTTCGATAAGGCGTGCATCAGCGCTGACATTCAGCAGATGATTGTCTACCTCATAAATAGCTCGAAATCCTTTTGCGCATGGGCTAAAGTGACATCGGGTCGGCAGGCTGTGCTCGTAGCCAGATTCAGTGATATGCACGAGGCTGAAGACTCGGTTTGGTCGGATTTTAGAGGGCGCAAGTTTGATTCCGAGAAGATCCTAGGTGCATGATCCCTCTCCAACATCCCTCTTGGATTATGCACTAAATTGGCTGTCAGAACGGGTCCAAGCCTTCATTGCAATCATAGTGGAATGCTCTGAATCAATGCGGGACAAGAGTAAAAAGATGGCTTACAATAGTCTGATGACCTTGCGTTGGGATATGTATTCCCTCATGAGTGGGCGTGTCCCCTCCTGACGTGCATATCTTTAACATGCAGCAGATGGTTGAAAATGTGGAGGGCGCACACCTTGACCAGCAGCTGACAGAATCATGGCAAGTGTCCTTAACAAAGGTACGCATATTGCATCTTCTCGTGTGAGATGACCCGCTCAGATTGATCCAATACTTGATATCTAGTTCTGTCAATATGTTGCCAGTGTGCAAGATATGCCAAGGCGGACAACAGACAAGCAATACTTTGGAGCAGGCAAGCTTAAGCTTATGATCGAAGCGGCGTTGAGCAATGTCAGATGCATGGACTACGTGAGTGTATGCGTTGATTGTGTTTGCCCACGACCCTGAACACAGCTATGGATAAAGACACTGCAACAAGTCGCACTTTGGTGCTTATACCTGTACACAGGTTGCCGTCCTGGGTCCTTTTTGGCCACGCGCTACTACCCCACGTGGTATACCCGGTACCAGGTACGTGATTTGGTCAATCACGAATACAGAGAGTAACTATATCACATCCTCTCTAGGACGTGCAAGTGATCAGACTCGAGGACGGCACATTTGCGGTGGACCTCATGGTCGTTGCCTGGAAAGGCAGACATGGATTTGAGCCATGGAGGTGTGATAACCACACTGTATGTTGTCCTCATTTTTTGCTCACAAGTATCAACGGACCCAGTAGGCAAACATTCCGAATATGTTCTGCGCACAGCGAAAGCCACTACATGTTGGACCTACCCATGTTGGTCGTCGTGCTGCACCATCAGGCCTTCTTGGACTACATGTGCCTCTCCGATCTCATCGCAGGCAGAGACTGGGTGATACACTGGCGTCCGGAGGTCACGGAGATGCCATTTTTTGTAGCAGGAACAGCGAGAGGGTATGGCACACAGGAGGATCGCGCTTTGCCCTACAACGTGCATTTGACATACTTTCATCGTACCTGTGAGCAAGCTGGCCTAGGCTGTAAGTAGCTTCATCTAAATCTCATCTCCGGAGTGGACACACTGACAGTGATCCTTGCAGGGGAGGGTAATTCACCATACCTGTATCGTCACGCAACCGCAACCACCTGGACACAAATTTTGGGTGCTGATCTCACAAAAGCGATGATGCATCATAAGCAAGATATGACAACACTCTTTGACCATTATGCCAACAATGCTGAACAGGTGGATATCGTGGTGGCGGCTTTGTACAATGAGAAGAGAACCGTCATAGGTGAGAGTTCGCAATTTGAGCCCGGTCTGTTTCGGTGCGTGGTGATTATCCTGCTGTTGTGCATCTTGAATGGATACTTACATTATGTGCAGCCCCACTGAGATGCCAGAGACCAGTGTCAAGCTCACACTTGGTGACGCACTTGCGCAGTGCGAAGAGTTGTGCCTCCTGTACATGCAGAAAATTTCGCTCTGCCTCTACCTCTCAGGTGAAGGTGACGAGACTCAGCTGGAACAAGTCATGGTAAGTCCAATTACTTCATTGTGTGCGACCACCCTCACCAATGATGGGTCCCTTGTATAGAACTCACTGCTCCCGGCGGAGGAGGCATTTATCCAGCAATACAATCCAGGACACTCAGAAGACGATGATGCAGATGATGACTTCCACTGCGCACTTCTTTGTCACATCCAGGTACATGCATGGCACATGTTCTCCGATTTGCGCACATGGTACCATCATAAATGACTGCAGCAGGCCTACAAGCAAGCGAAACAGCCAAACCTGGATGACATTGCTGCACGCAAGTGAGACGGTGAAGGTCTGGGCCCCCTTTTGTGCAGCATCAAGGCAATCACAGAGGCGGAGGATGGCACGGCAGAAGAAGACAACGAATTCCAGGAGACTGTATGCGTCAGCGGAGATGGCAACAAGGGTAGTTACCTCAACGGGGTGATGGTATCACGGGAGCAGTTCATGAGGTATGGACAGTCAAACATTGATATAGGTGTCAACCTACTGATGGTCCCTTCTAGCCATTTGATCAACTACGAGGAGAACATATGGCATGCGTGCCCATGCCCGACGTGCGTGATGGAGAAGTGGCGACCGATCAAGTATCGTGAGCAGACCTACCCCAGCCAAGACAGACTGGCCACTCACATGGAGCGACATCACCCGTATGTATCATCCAAGCCACTCACATATTTGGAGGGGTCACAGAGGGGGCTGTTACAGGCGTGGAGTGTGACATGGCCACGGTTCTGAAGGGGGAGGTTTCTCAATGTTGTATTACATAATGGGATAATGAACAATGTCTGCGTTGTTATGAGTGGTACAGCGGGCTGCTATGTGATTAGACTTTCCATTGAGCGCAGGAAAACCAGGGTGCGGACGAGATTGGTCTCATGTAGGGTGTCGCCTGAAGCAAGCGCGGAGGCCAGGCGTGCATGCCCCAACATATTAGTGATCTGCCACTGCCCCATTTGTAGACCCCACAGACAAAACACTGCATCCTCCGTATCAACATCGGACACCATTTGGGCAGTAGAAGTCCTGGCAAGAGCAGTCTTCACATCAAAGCTTGGCTCGATATCACAGTTTTCTTCCTGCACTGGAGATGAGCAGGATAGGAAAGTTGATATGTCAGGTTGGCCGCTTGGCGCACCTCTGCCACGGTTGCATCCTCCGGTTCCGTATCCTTCCCATGCATACTCCGCTTGTATGGCTTGCTGTATGCCATCAGACTTTTGATGCATTCTGCATTCGACTAGGGAGTCAAGAGAGTGGGTTAGCGACATGGTAAATGAAGCTTACCCGCATGTGACTCACCAGTGCAAGCTGCGAGCCACTGAGCGCATTTAGGGCTTCTGATGCAACTTTGACACTAAGAATAAAGGTCGGCATAGTTGCAGAACTATCAGAGGGCCAAACCTGTAGGGACTGAGAAGATGTATGAGGCTCTGTCGCGTTAAATGTGCTTTGGACCGCACCTCAACTGGTGTGCTATATCCGCCGCCAATTTGTCTATGAGCAGGGGTGTGCATGCGGATTGTGCTATGTTGGTTGCCATGGATGAGAAAGTGCTGCAATGATGGGGATTTATGCGCCACATTGGATGTATGAACAGAGGTAGAGAGGAGAGAGAGAAGGGGCGCGTGGCGTGAGACACTTCGAGGTATATGGATCACATGATTGATGTACCACGGGCACCTGATCATGCTGACCTTTGTCTCTTGTGCACTTCCACCATCTTGCTCACAACACTCATACTTGCCATGCTTGGATCGATCAACTTTGACGTGGGTACCACTTTAATTCTGGCTATCAAGACGTGGTGATGATTTTTTTGCCAGACATTCCTGGAGATTGCGTATGCGCTCATGAGGAGCACTCCTGAGAATGCGGCTTGCTCTTTGGTTGCCATCACGTCCACTGCACACGGCTTTTATGTGACTACAAAAACACAGCCAGCCATCTGGCGCATGGCGCACAACCTGCAATTTGGATCGCTGGAAGAAGGCCTGCAAAAGGCCATGGACCGTGGGGAGTATACCTGGGGCGATCTGGTGGTCGGGCGAGTGAGGGCGCTCAAGATACCACTGATTGCCACCGGAAGCTGGCTGATAGATAATTATGAGCTGAACATGCCTGTCAAGTGAGTTCTTCATCTGGCATTACTCTCTACAGGACTGATGGGTGACTGTATGCGCACAAGTTACTCTTTGGACCATCTTTTAGATGACGTGGCCTCCATTGGAGCAACCCTCCCATTCCCCCCGGCACCGGCTACAATCAATTACGCGTTCACGACCCTGATCTCATTCTACACAAACAAGATGCGCAAACAGGGTGCAGAGGACGCATTTTTCAACGCCAAGATACATCACTATAAGCTCGCTGTGAGTGGAAACGGCCCGCGTACGTGTGGACGGTACTATGGTGTGCAGCGGAGGGATGCCCTGCCTGCGCCTTTCCCTCTCAGGGCCTCCCTGACTTCAGTGTTCACTATCACTTCTGCCGCCCTCAATCCAAAGTCCCCCAAGTCACGCGCCCTGCCGTACTTCCACGGGATACTGGCACACATCCACAGCGGCCTCAAAGCGGTGGTGCACGCCACCATGAATTCGTCAGTGGTTGCCTGGCCTCATGACCGCACTCATCCCGTCCACTGGCCACAGCTCATCAATGTACTCCTGCCACCGTTCAAGGTGCAGGGTCTGGACACCAGTACGTAGGACTCATGCCAGATTGTCTGATACAATTACTAATGGCACACTACCAGACCTCGCTGTACCACTGTCAGCGGTGAGATGGTCCGATGTATTTCCCGAGAACAAACTCATCGGCGGCACTCAGTTCATGGAAGCACTCCTGTCAGGCAACAATCAGCGGAGGACCGCGATTGTTATATTCCACGGCGGGTGTGATCCCCTCCTGTCCCCCGTGGCGTGGGTCCAGAAGACCAAGAACCTGAACGCGGCATCCACTCTGGCATATGCATTCCGGTGAGTTTTTCGCATGTATGCGAGGCATGTGTAGCTTAACATAGCTGACTATATGCACGTCACAGAGGAGACGAGGCCTACAGAGAGGGCTACAACATGGCAACTTACGGTCGTCACCACCTGGACTACCTGGTATCGGTGACCATCGGGACACTGCACAAGTACGAACAATGGTGCCGTGCCAATAACCAAAGCATTCAAGTCTTGCCCGGCATAGCCGTCATGGTCAACGAGGTGCGCCTGTCCCCAGACAATGCGGAGCGCCTACACGAGATGCTTGTTCGCTCACTTGTGTACCAGGGCAAGGGGGCTAGTGTGTATGAGGGGAAGGCAAGGGTGGTCAGGGAGGCTCTTCCAAATGCGTACGGAGGCTACTGATTGTTACGGTGTATCACGCTGCCTGGTCTCGGTGTGTCATGTTTTATTTCGCGTAAATTACATCGTATCGCTGGCTCAATGGGTCTGTAATCACTTGTGTGGAGTAGAGAATTGACTGCGCATCACTGTGTGCCATTGGGAAGGTGAGTATATGCGCGTGTTTACGCGTGTATGAACTCACCGGTGTCATTGTGGTACAGACCGTGCGCGCGAATGGCCCATGCGGTAATGGCAGACTGCCATCTGTACAGAATGTGAATATGGCATTTAATAGGATGAGCGCAAGAGATGGGTACTGCTGTTTGGAGGTCATTTCCGGATGCTGCCGTGCAAGCCGTGCAAGCTCTTGACACATGAATATATCTAAGTGTGTGGTCGCATTCTGCCGGTGATGTCCCGAGTGGGGTCAATTGGTACACCGAGTGAGTGAAGAGAGTGGGACGCACAGCATTGGTTCCTCTAAGATGGGGCGGCATGATGGTGGTTGTAGAACAAGCGGCAGAGCGTGGTGACGGTCTGAGGAGAACTTGTGAGAAGGGCGAGAAATAGAGTTGTCACCGGACAGCGTAGTTTTGCAGGACAGCTGTAAGTTCATCGAGTTCTTTGTGATGTGAAGGCTGCAGTGGGAATGGGGAATATATTGTACAGAGGAGCTACAGACGGTTTTGGATACAGGGATATCTACTAAAAGTACAGACAGGGCGAGCGTGTTGGAAGGACTTGAACAATCATTTGGTGGCTCTCTCTTTACCTTTCGAATCGCGCACACGCTGCTCACCCGCGCGCTCTTCCTCAGAGTCTGGAGCGTACCCATCATCAAAATCAATAGCTGGAGGCAGAGCCTGGTGCACATTCTGCGCCTCGGGCAACGGCTCAGAAGCCGCTGCACCATCGCGCGAGGACCCCTCGACAAAGTTGTGGGGGACGGGGTTTTGCTGCTGCATGCTTTGTATGCCAGGCAGAATGTCTGAAATGGCTGGAGGGTCAGTGTGGGTGGGCAGCCACTGGTGCGGTACTACTGACCGCCGCGGTAGCCCTCAAAGGTGTGGTGGAATGGCGCAAGGTCTGTGTCATCGCGGAACACATTAGCCTCAGCAAAGTCGAGGAGCGCCTGAAGTGTTTCGACGGTTGGGGCCAGTGCTGCAATAACCAGGTTAGGGTCGTTGGGAGAGATGTCGCAGAGGACCTTGAACAGGTCGAGGGCGGGGTAACCGCATTGAGTGCAGAGGGTGATCATCTCCGAGGCGGTGTTCAGTCCCTCTAGGTGGAGCAGACGGAGGGCCGTCCCGATAGGACCCTTGAGAAACAGTGGCCATCGGTGGGATGGTCTTCAGGGTTCTGCTGAGCAGCGAGAGGCGGTGCGCTTAGTCGCTTGGTGCCTGAAAAATGTGGGTCAATTAGGGAGCACAAGAGTAGTGGCCCATGGGACCTACGTCGAAATCTGCGTTCTTCTTCTTGGTGGTCACCGCCGTTTTTGCCTGGGTTACAAATAGGGGTTAGAAATGCCATGCGAGATTTAGAAGACGCAGACGGTGCCTGCCTTTTTAGTGGGAGGCTCATCTTCCGCATTGCCCGGGCCATCGTGATCGCCTTCGTCCGGCGCTTGAGTCTTCTTACCGGGGCCGTGGCGCTTTTTGGCGCAAGCCTTGGATTGGCCGCTGCCAGGAGGGTGCCCGGGTCCACGCCGCTTGACCTGAGCAGGTGGAGGTGTCGGCTCGCGCTCGAGTTCATTGTCATGACTGTCGATGAACTCCCCGTTTGCATCAACTTCCATGTCAGGCTGGAGATCGTACTGAAATGCATAAGCTCAGCGGTGAATCATGCTGGGATCACAAACGAGCACGTGCATCATCCTCGTAAGGTTTGGCGAGCTCGTTATAGGTGCCACCATCGTCGACATTGTATGCGTTGTCGTATGCTATCCGGGAATCGGATGATTGATAGGTGAAAAGGGGTGAGGGGTTGGGCGATGTTGATTCCCTGATGCTGCCGCAAAGCGTGTGGGGTTTCCTGCTTTTCCAACAGTGGCTTCGCCGAGTTCGTGACTAAGCCGGGCGGGCTATGATCCTTGAATAACTGCTTGTGTGGTGGTGTGTGGGTGATTGTGGTGTACTGAGACCTATGCGGAAGTCTCGGATGGTGGTTGCCCTGAGTATCTGGGCAGAGTCTCCCCTATACTGGTTGGGAGTGTTGCGTGCTGGCTGCGTAAGGCTGCGAGTGCCTGTCTTCTAGACCCCGTATTAAACACACCCTGTGGTATGTCAAGTGACGTGTCTTCCTGGCTGTAGACCCCGTATTAAACACACCCTGAGTGGTGCGTCAAGTGACGTGTCCGTT